TGGAGGCTGGGCTACAATTTATATGGACTATGGGGGCTGGGCTACAAATTAATCTATAATATACATGGCTTCTCAAAGCCTAATTGCTGATTGCTGTTAGAATAACAGTAGGAGACTATGATAATATGAGTCAATGACTATGAGTACGAGTATATAATATAGGTCATCCTGCAATTTGTGCACTGTTGCATGTAGATCGAGCACTGCATTGTATACAGTGGTTGTACTTCGACATGTGCATGGTTATACTCTAGCTCCTAGTTATAATTATATTGGCTATCATACGAAAAACACGTGAGATTATGAGCGAGATTTGCAAGTTTTGCAACTCTCATCTATCAAATTTTCCAGACCTGTAAATAAAAAACCCAATAAAACAATGATTACATCGTACATACCATACAATCTTTGTTGTTGTTTGTTTGCACTACACTTGACAAATTATCAGGTAAAAGACTTAAAACCACGATGTAGTGCGCGGTGTGCCATTTGTTTAATATCATTTTGTTTAGTAATTTTTTAAAACAATTTAGAATTCCTACCATTTACATGCGATATACTTCATGTAAATTAAATTTTACGGCATTACGCCGACAGTTTCGAATGCGTGACGATACTGTTTCTGGATATATCAAACATAATTTTATAAAACATGTTTGTTGAAACAGTTTAAATAAAATGCAAGCTAAATAAGGAAGTGTTGACAAGATACAAAACAAGACAATTTCACTTACAAAGATGACAAGGTAATTTATCATTATAGCTTATTATTACTGTATATTTACATTGTGCGTTTCTACCCCCTGTGGGCTGTGGTTCTTTTGGAAATCAAATGTTTATTATATTTTGCAATTTTAACTCGACATAAATTAATAATATTAAAATTTAAGACATGTGTAGTTTAGTTATAGGTTGGCATATTGTAATTATGTACCGTACATGCCCCTTAAGTAGAGTATATTTATTAACTGTTTACAATATTTGTTGTATATAATGTGGCCATGAATGACCACATTTTTCTATTTATCTACGTTTCGACTATATTTCAGTCATCATCAGGATAAAACATTCGTTTTATCCTAATGACCACATGACCTCACAATTGGATGAACCCCAATGGGTTCTAAATAGACAATGGATGAAAAGTTCATAAATATTAAGCTTTATATATGATTCAGGTTAAATACAATAATTAACCTAGCTTTATATAAAATGTACATACATGTTCTAATAATTGTATTTTGCTTCATACAATGCATATGTGTGTGGAAACATTACATTATTATTCAGCTCATTCCCCATTGGGGCTTTTCAGTGACCGATTACATTAAGTATTATGATTACTCATGTTAGCCTAGACTATTTATCTTTACAACAATGAGAATATGATATTACTTTCCTAACTGTGTTTATCCTAACCAACCCTGCCAATTTTGCCCTGTGGGAGGAAACGGAGCAAAATATAAAATTCATTTACATTGAAAACACCTAAATTGCAATCCCTAAAATTTAAGATTTTTTTCTTAAATCGCCTAAAATCGCACTAAATCGCAGTGCTTGAAAGTCCCAGTTTTTCCTTAAATCGCCTAAAATCGCCCAAAATCGCATTATCTCACGGCGATTTAAGGCGATTTACCGCCCCTGAGTAGGCCTAGCCTTTGATGCATGCTGTCCTTGAACAAGAACTCTTCTTGTGTTAAGTGTTGTTCGGTACTGTCTGTATTTCGTCTTGTGAAGTATTTTGTTTCGTATACATATAAGACCTTGTACTGTTCAGTATATTAAAATACTTTGTAACTTCATGACTTAGATCTGTTTATGCTTATAAATTATTGGAAAATGCACGTAACAGTCGTTTACGTATTTTTGTCATATCTGATGTTTTGTATGTGATTAAAATGTGTGTATAATATTTCAACTGTGTCCAATTTACGTAATACTTTCTTTCAGTAAATTCAGAATTCGACAATAGCGATTAGCCGACAATGCAGGCTACCCACATGTACGCAGCGCGTACGTATTTTTAAATTAATTGAGAATGCAAACATGTTGTGAAAATACAAACATTGATGTTGAAAATGCGAACATTGATGTTGAAAATACAAACATTGATGTTGAAAATGCGAACATGAATTTTGGTGGAGATTTGACGCCATGCTATCCGCCAAAATTCAAGTTAGTATTGAAAATACACAGCCGTTGATGTTAAAAAAGCGAACATTGACGTTGAAAATACGAAGAAAGATGTTGAAAATGCGGACATTGATGTTGGAAATACAAACATTAATGTTGAAAATACGAACATGAATTTTGGCGGAGATTTGACGCCATAGTTTACTACATATTATCGAAAAATTCAATAAAATTATTTTATTTTTTATAGGTTACCGTTATGTGACCGATAAAGATAACGTTTGTATAGAAGAAGACGACATTTTATCGGATTATCTTTCCAACTGCCAATTTGATCATGCAAAACATCATATGGATTTACCTGATGAAAAAGACCACGAAATGCCGGAAGGCTTTGGGTGTGGGTTTAAGCGCGAGGCACAAGAAAGAATATTTGAAGCTACGGTTGATGAAGAGTGTTTTACTATTATTGTTTCAGATGAAAAGGGATGGGATTCAGACTTTTCAGATAGAAGAGACAAGGATCAGGTTTGAATACTTCAATTTTCAAAGTTATTACCAAAGAAAAAGTTGATTTTTATTTAATTGTTCGCACATGTCATTATCATTGTAATTAAAAAAAAAGAAAAACTACATATTAATTATTTTGTGTTACAGTGTAGGTATCAGGGCGAAGGGAGGGGGGCGTGGAAACGGCAATACAAGTCTTAGGACCATCCGTGATGCGGGCTTTGCGGGGGGTAAGACGTTCGAATTGTAAACAAATATGGCGACGCGTATACAACCTATCAGAAGGTATGCCGAAACTATTGCTTTATAAAATATTACTTGTGTAAAATTTATATGTTTTTTTGTTACTTTTAGCTATTATAAGAAATTTAAAGATAAGATTTAAGTAACGAAAAACTTTATTTCGGGTGTTATTTTATTTCGGTACTCTGTTTAATTTGGTGTTTAAAAATGGCCGTCGAAATGTTGTAAGAGAGTGTTAGCGCGCACTGCTTCCTGATGAAAAACCAATGATTTCCAAAACCTAAATTATAATTTGTTATGAAGTTATGATGGAAACCTTTGCGTAGACAAAATTATGGAGTGAGCAAACATGAGACAGATAGGTTTTAAACCTTTCAAAGTTCGATGTCGAATTGACAGTTGAAATACTACCAAACTCCAACCTCAAATGTGCAACTCTATCGTGTATATTTTTGTCAATTTTGTTTAATGGCCTTTGTTAAATTCACTTGCAATGGCTCGACATAAGTTACAACATACAAACTGAGCGGAGCCCATGAAAAAGCTATCCATACCCCTACAGTCATTCAGCGCTTCCTTGCTATTTAGAAATGGTTGCCCATTAGTTGAAGAAGAATTGCTATTGTATGCGCTTGTTTGCACTTCCTTTCCTGAAAATGGCTACAATATTACCCTTACAAAACCAAATTATATGGGACATATATGGACCAACTATGGGATTGATATGGTTCAACCTATGGGCCATATATGGAAGTTATATGGCTTTGGTATGGCCTGGTTGCCTTCATAGCATACCCATATCATGTTTTTGATATGGGTTTGATACGTATTTGGTACAAATCCATACATATCCCATATCACTTACTATGGGAAATACATGGGTTCCTTATACCATTTCATAACAACTTTGCTATGGGTAAGATAGGATTCTATATGGGAATGATCTGGGAACATGATATGGAATTCATATGGTTCTTGATGTATAAACTATGGGAATGATATGGGTGCAACAATTATCATATTATATTGGGAATGGTATGGGCACTTGTTTTCATCCCATACCAAACCCATGTTAACATCTAACATCCAAATGCTAGATGTTAACACATTGTGGGTTTGGTACGGGATGAAAACAAGTGGCCACCATTCCCAATATACTTGCTGCAGCTCAAGAAAATTGTACTGGCTGGCATACATAGTTTAACTAACATGCAAAAAATCTTCAAAAACACAATACACAAATAAATAACATAGTTAATAAATAAACAAATTACAAAATTGTTAACTAATTTACTATTTCTTAATGAACTTGCAAAGTTTGTCTAACTAAATTACCATGGTATAACTATATATACAAACATGCGATAATGTCAAGTACTAAGTGCTTATTGATCTATATAAATGCATCGATATCTATAATGTCCTCCCAGTCCTCTCAACTTGTGGGCCTGACTACAGACTATTCAAACTCTTTGCATACGCCTGGCCTCCACGTCACTTTTGCCCACGTCACTGGCCTCCACGCGACATGGCTTGCTGTTGCTGGTTGACATGATTTACCAATAAACATAGAGATATTACACTATTATAATATTATTAAAATATTTGCCGGTTTACACGAGACACATGAAACAAGATTCATTTGTAAGGTCCGCATTTCGACATTTGTACGACACCATCTGCATCATCACTTGTAACTTTATACCAACTTGAACTGGTTGTAGTTTGTTTAAGTAATTCAAAATTGATAGCATGTAATTGTATCTATCTTTGGTAGAATTTGTACGGTTTTACTAAATTGTTGAATAGGAGTTTCAACTAGATTTTAGCTATCATTAAATTATGGATTTCAGTTCGACTGCATTTTTTCAGTCAGCCGGAAATTGATGTCACGACCTTTCATTATCATATTCATATTTCCAAGTATTGTGAATAATCAAGGTGTTGTTATTGCAAAATCAAACCAAAGCGAAGGCGGAAGTGTTTCAAAACCTCGTCTGTTTCTTGCTCTCGATTTATTTGCTTTACAATGTGAGATAAATTTGTCAAAGAAAGATCATTGGTATCGAATCTTTAACTAGAAAGTGGCGCAATGTTTCTATGAGCTATGAAGCATGGCTTGCTGCCCGACCGAAGAGAAATATGGCTACGAAGACTGTCGATTTGAAAAAGATGTCGACGAAAATTTTCATTGTTCTATCTGCTACAATGTTCTTAAAGAACCAAGGACGTGTAGGAATAATGATCACATCTTTTGTCTTGCCTGCATCACTCAACATCTAAAGGTGAACTCTCAAACTTGTCCTGAATGTAATGAGCATTTGAGTGTCGATACGCTTCGTCGGCCGCGTGTGGTGAATAACATTTTGTCTAAACTAAAGATAAATTGTGATCATGCCAGTCGGGGATGTCCTCAGTTTACCTGTCTTGAAGATCTCAAAACTCACGTGGTGAATTGTGGCTATGCACCTGTATTGTGTTCAAATGCAGAGTGTGGTATGGAGATTAACAAACAAGATAAGGTCCATCATGAGACTAAAGTTTGTGATCATAGAAAAGTGAAATGTCATGACTGTGGGCAGATACAGGAAGATGTCGGAACATTGAAAGGAAGTTTAATCGAACTGGATGGGAAAGTAGAACAAGGAATAAAGAAATTGGACGAAAAAGTGGAAGCAGTGAAGGAAATGAATAAGGACATGAACGAAAAAGTGAAGGAAACGAACGAAAAAGTGAAGGAAATGAACGAGAAAGTGGAAGCACTGAAGCAAATAAACGAAAAAGTGGAAGCATCAAGTGGACGAACAAAGAAGGAAATCGGGGATGTTAAGAAAGAAGTCAAAGATATAAAGGACAATCTTTCCAAAGTGAACAAAGACGTGGACGAAGTCAAAGTCATGATGATTCAAATGTTGGAGAAGTTAAATATGCTTGAACTGCTGAACAAACTGCCATCTCCGACTGAGGGAATGTTGAACACACCAAGAGAGGATATTTTGATTGCAGGTGGATATGGAGGGCGTTCAAGTAGATCTGGCAGAAGTACGGAAATATATTCCTGGGAGAAAAATGGTTGGTTTGAGGTGTCGCCAATGAATGACGACCATAGAGAAGCTTCATCATTTATCTATAAAGATCAATTCTTTGTTGTCGGGGGAGCAGATATAAGGCAATAGAGACCTTGAATCTCGATGAATTACCTTTGAAATGGACGAAATTTCTTGGGGAACTGCCTTATGAATGCGTTGATCATCAAACTGTTGTTTACCAGCAGAGTGTCATTCACATTGGTGGATATAACGATGGCAAAAGATGGTCTAACGTGATTAGTGAATTGCAACTTACTTCACCTTGCATTATGAAAGAGTTGTGTCAAATGCCAAAAGCACGAGAATATCATGGCGCTGAGGTATTTGAAGATAAAGTGCTGATTTTAGGAGGATATCGCATTATTATGACTACAGACAGTGTATTGGAGTTTGATCCAAAAAGGAATGAATGTAAAGAGATGCCAAAATTACCGTCTGCCTTGAGGAGAATGGCGACAGTTCGCTGGAGGGATGAAGTAGTTGTGCTTGGAGGTCGTGATAATGATAGCCAAACTCTGAATGATGTTTTCATGTACAATTCCAAGACAGGCAAGACTGCCTTACCACCCATGTTGGAGAAGAGATATAACTGTTGTGCAGTTATTACTGGAAACACCATTGTAGTGATGGGAGGTAGGAATGAGAAAAATGAATATCTCAGTTCAGTGGAGTGTTTTACAATGGGAGGTTCTACATGGGAGTATCTTCCTGCCATGAACAAACCAAGATCCAGAGCAGTTGCTGAAGTTTTACCTTCCACACGAAAATATGTGTAAATTGAACATTGAAACAATCATAAGACGTTAATTCATAATTAGGTTACGTTTTCGGGCACGATCACATGTTTCAGCTTTGCTGGGTTGAGATATGAGATGATTTTGATGTATTGAAATATTCCACGGTTTATGATTCGGAGAAAAAACGTCAATTTTCCGAGATAGTTTGCCATGTAATTGATTCTGAACAACTAGCATGCAATTTACAGTCATCATAATTTCGTTAAACTACAGGTTTGATCAATTGCATTCCAGCTTCTAATATTGTCGTTTGACTTCAACTTTATCTACGTTGTGACTTATGTCGATACATTAAAATCATCCTGCTTCATCCTGAATCACATCTCAATAACTATATCACTATATTATGTTAGTTGAATATATACAGAGAATGTACAAAATTATAGCAAGTTCCATTCTCCACAGCCTTTCTTAACATGACGTCGCAAATTTTAAGAGCCTAAAATTGACTTTTAACATTCGGCTGTGGTTTCGTTTAAAAAAAATTGATTGATTGTCCCAGATTATAATTATAGTATTAAGTAGTCATGACTGTAAGTTATAATAAATCAATAAAATTAATAAAATTTTATCTCAAATCGGGCTTCGGTGGCCAAGTGGTTAGCGCACTTGCCTTTCACCTCTGAAGCTGCAGGTTCGAATCTCACTAAGTACCTTCTCAATGCGACTCGAACCCAGCCCTCATGTGAAAAGAGTAAAAGTCAACGCTCTGCCGAAAGCCGTGGGTTTTCCCCGGGTACTCCGGTTTCCTCCCACAGGGAAAGTTGACAGGGTGGGTTAGGT